TTACAGGTAAATGGGCAGAACCAGGGCTATACTTATAAGTGAAATAAATCAGAACTGCATGTGTAAACATTGTATTGTCTCCCGAGTGTAAGAACCTGAAAAAGTAAATAAAATCCAAAAGGTACAGTAGCTACTGTGAAGGGGAAAGAAATTGTTCAAAGGGAAGGAACAGCTGGGATAAAGGAAAGGAGAAAAGAAAAAGCAGGGAAAAAGACAACTAAAAAAAGGCAATGTATGGTCATTATGCTTTCAAAAGCCAGTGTCTTTTTTTTTTCAAAAATTCAGCAGCAGCACAATACCCCAAAAAAGACTGAAACTTTTCAGTATAACAAAGAATAAAAGTTGAAGTGTTAACTTACATGACTACCTAACTCAAAATACAAATGTTCCCCTGTGGACCTTTCCTATATTAAAATATCAATATGCTTCCCCAAGTGGCAAATTAAGAAGGGACCCTAAGTGCTCTGCTTTCCACCTCAATACTTCAACCAGGAGAAAATGGAAGCCAAGAGAGTGAGAGGGATTTCCCCAAGACAAACCTGATGGTGGTCACTGAAGTAGCGGAACCTCAAGATACTTGATATTCAACCTAGTGCTTTGTCTGTAACAGTAAGCTTCACATTCTATTATAATTTATGGCTATCTGGCTAAAAAAGGAAAAATCTCTGGAAACATGTTTTCAGTTATTACACAGTGGTTCTAAATAAATAAACTGCTAACCAATCTAATGAAAATCATGAGGATATTATTGTAATGACTAAATGTACTAGCTTTTTTAAAATTAAGGAACATTAAAAACTGCTGCAACTAATTCTATATCAATGTTTTGATTGTGTTGTAAAATAAGCAAACCAACAAACTTAAAGTTCAGAAACTGGTGATGGAGACACTACCAAATCCAAGTTTCAAAATATTCTGACAGTTGACCCACAAGTTCTATTTGAATATTTTCAGGGATCTGGAATACTTTCAAGAGTGCAGACTACCTCTACTATTCCAAAGCCTAATTACTAGGTAGCTGCTATAGTTCGACTGTGTCTCCCAAAGTTTATATTTATCTTCCAATGCAAGAGTGCCGGGAAGTTGTTTTATGTGAGGTGGTTAGGCCACGAATCCACCTTCAAGAGTAGACTTATGCCCCTTAGAAAAGGGCTGGAGCCAGGAAGTTTCATCTCTTCCTCTGTCTCACTAAGTTACACTTTCCAATGTGTTATAACCTGTTAAGAAGGCACTCACCAAATGACTCTCAGCCACAAAACCGAAATAAGTTTGTTCATTATAAATGACCTCAATGTGGAAGCACCAAACAAAAGCAGTAATCCAGGTAAGAATCTAAACCAGTTTCTTTGTAGACCTCTATCCCTTAGAATCAGTTCTCTTTTCCAGAAAAACTGAATTAGTCTAGTCACCTTCTTTATATTTCACAATCAGCCTTTCAAACACTTTAAGCTTAGTGATGGGTCTAACATTCCTCTTTTTCTTGAGAAACATATCCAGAAAATTTAAAAAGTACTTGGAAATAGCTCATACACAAAGCCCTTTAGTTCCAATCAATTTAAAAAAGGTTTATCAAGTTCTAGATATTGTCCTCGGTCCTGAGTACAAAAAGAAATGAGACATAATCTTTGCCCTGAAGGAGCTTACAATAAAATGGGAGAGACAAGTGTATACAGACATAATGTCAGTCTACCAACAGCCAAGTGCTAACGAGGAGTTACGTCCAAACAACAGCAGAGAGCAAGGAAGGGAACAGGATGAATACGTACATAGACACTATTAACAGCTGGCACAGTGTACTAAGGTCACAAATTTGGATTCAAGTCTTGAATTGTAAATTCTCCATAAATTCTAAGTAATCCTTAAAGGTAAACAAAATGTGATGATTCGTAGCATCTATGTAGACAACGATGAACTGAAATCAACATACACATTCATATTTAGAATCTTTGAGAATGCGGTCAAGCAATACATATCTGCTAAATAAGACAAATTAAAGTATATCTTAGAATCAATGGCATTATAAAAATTCTTAAAGGAAGAGACTAATTTTCCTGAGTGCCAGGTGTGAAATGCTGTGTGCTGGAAGAAAATGACTTGGTACAACATCAAAGAAAGCACTCTTCTCAGGCAACAACATATGTTTTTCATGAAAATTCAAAGTATGAAAACATGAATATTCAAGATTCCAAAACAATGACAAGCACAAGTCATTAATGGGATGTTACAGTTTTCTTTAACCAAGAAACTTATTAAAGATAGAATTTTAATATATTCTATTAAATATATATTAAATATATCCATGGCCCTAGCTGAACAGGGCCGTGGATATATAGCTCACTGGCATGGTGCATGCTTGGTAGGAGGTCATGAGTTCGATTTCTAGTACCAAATAATAATAATAATAGTAGTAGTAATTTGGCTGAGCAATACTTAATGAGAAATATCAGAGACTTAAGTTGAACTTTATTAAAATTGTCATCTTCATATGATTTTAACTGTTACATGTAATTAAAGAGATTAAAACTTCCTTTGACTGTACAAGACTGTGTGAGGTACAAGGAGCATGTCAATCTTCTCTGTATTTTCCCTTAAACTAGTAACGTGTTTAGCACTGTAGTTAACAGCAGAAGGAAACGAAGCCTGTTCAGCTTCATGCACTTTGGCACAACATATATGTATGATTCCCACGTCTTAGATGTAGGTGTTGAATATATTTGGTCAATT